CATGGTATAGGCTTAGAGCCTTTTCTGTGATTTCTTAGAGTGGACGGCGTTCCACGGTGGTTGTTGTTGGATTGGATCCTATTGGAGATACCATCACCCCCGGGGTTGTTCTTTATAGCTAGGCTGGGAACGTATCGTTGGCTGGGTAGACTCAGTGATATCGACTATCGCCCCCGGGCCTCTCTTTCTAGCAAGGCTGGGAGTGTGCTGCTGGCTGGGTGTCCCCGGGTCGCTCTTTCTAGCTGGGCTGGGAGCTTACTACATGGTATGACGACTCGCGATATCTACCTCAATCACGGGTCCATCTTTCTAGCTAGGCTGGGAGTGGACTGTTTGGTTGGATGCCCCCTAGGGTCACACTTTCTAGCTGGGTTGGGAGTGCACTGCTGGCTGGATGGAGGCTGATGGATTATCTTAATTACTTTGGGCTGGGATCCCGGTTTTCTTCTTTCTCAGTAGACTTAGCTTTTCTGTGTACCTGTCGGGCTTATGGGGGTCCGCTCAGGTTTTATTTGAGCTTGCGCACGAGTGTACCTTCTGGGTATATGGGGGTCCAGTTAGGTTTAGTTTAGTGTACTTAGTTTATTTTTGTTATGCTCGTGTGCTTTCTTTTCTTATCCGCTTTGAACTCTCTGTGTTTAGATTCTATCCTTTCTTATTGTTTTTACCCTTTTTGCTCAGTCGGCCTATGATGCCTACTGAGTACCAGCGGTGATTAGTTCCAGCCTTCTTTTGCAGCTGTGATTCGGAGACGAGGGCGAACATTTGGCGTTTTGGGTTTGTTTTTTCTCCTTCATTTGTTTTAGCTAGTCTTGTTGCCTTTGAGACACGCTCTGTTGTGGTCCACTTTTGGGACTTGTACTCTTTATTAGATAGCTCTGTACTAGTGACTACCAGATTCTGGGAGCGAATTATGTATATATTTATTTTGGGTTGCTTCTCCCTTGTTATTCTTTTTTTAGATTATTGTTATCGTTAGTTTCTGCCCTTTCGCTCATTGCTTGATGTTCTGGGTTACGGGTTGGCTTACCTACTGGTAGGGTATAGTAGGTACCATCGTGACTCGACATATCGGGTCGTGACAAGTTGCTATTAGAGCCTCATGTTCACCGGTTTCACCTGTACAGAACTAACATCTAGTGGAGTCCTGCAGATCGGTGCGGAGACGTCCGTAACTTATCTTCTAAAGGCTACAGGATGTCCTTAGAAAGATTTCCTCTTTTGTTTCACTTTCGTGCATCATGTGTCTTATTGGTTCCTTAAGATCGCACTTGTTTCACTCTTTCGCAGGATGTCTCGCTCGTGAGGTGGCGCGGCCGGGGGTGATGCACCCAGGCCTGCAGACAGAGCCCCAGCTTGGGGTAAACGCTGACCCCGAGGTCGAGAGAGGGCCGCAGCATCAGTCCAGGAGAGAGAGGAGGAGTCCAAACCCAGTAGAAGACCCTTCAGCACTTCGTATACCAGATCAGCCGGTAGGGCCGGGGCCAGCCTAGCCGCCACCCGGACTAGTTCTGACTCCAGATCTCCAGGCCGCTATTGCTCAACTCTTAGGTGTGCTTTGGGGGGATGCAACAGCCACCCACCCCATTTACACCATCACTAGTACCGCAGGATCAGCGTACAGTGAGGGCACTTCAGGTCCAGGTACCACCTGAGGGAGTAACCCTTGGTAGCGGACAAATCTATGCCGCTTGAGGAACAAAAGATGTTTGGTGTGTTTCTCAGGTTGACACCACCGAGGTTTTCTGGGCAGTGGGTGAGTTTGCCCACAAGTATCTTACTACTTGTCATGAGAAGCTACACTCTTTGGGACTTGTGGAATATAGAGGGGCCGACTTCATTACTTACCAGCTAGATGGGCCAGCCAGGCAGTGGTGGCCCACATTCATTTAGACCAGGCCAGTTGGATCTCCACCTGTATCATGGGATGAGTTTTCTGAGGCCTTCTTGGCCAAGTTTATCCCTCGTAGCGTCAGAGACCGCCTCAGGTATCATTTCTGCAGGTTAGAAGGGCTCCATGTCGGTGGCAGAGTACGAGACTAGGTTCCACGATCTCTCCCATCATGCCGAGATGATATTACCTACAGAGGAGGAGAGAGTTAGGTGCTTTGTTCGTGGTTTGAGAATGCAGTTTCAGCTTGAGACCCAGTCCTTAGTTTCTGCGGGTCGATCTTTTTTAGACGTAGTTGACCATGCTAGTACTATGGAACATCTTCGTCGCGAGGCCCAAGGGGGCATCGAGAAATGGGTTAGGCATGAGGGCAGCTACAGTAACTGCTGCCCCAGGTCTAGAGATTATCATGACAGGGCCGGACGACGGTTTCGACAGGGTCAGTCTAGCAGACCT